TTAACACTAGATTTACCAGCTATTTAGATATACCTATTTCTACCAAAACCAGTCAAAATGACTGGTGTATAAGAAAAAATGGTTATTGTGGTTTCCAGTCTTTATTCACTCGAAAAGTGACAAAAAAAGTTGAACAATATTATTTGTAATGGATAAATGGATTTATAGATATTGTGAAATAATAAAACATTTAATTGTTTACAGTTTGTTGCTCACAATTTCTACATATGTAGATTTTGCTGTGTGTACACTTTCCGCATAGACTTTTTCTGCATTTATTGCAAATATTTGTAGTCTTGTTGTTATTGCAGTATCCTATTTGACACCATTTGCGTACAGAAACCGTGCCTTTTGTAGTTGGCATATCAGCTTCGTGTGGTTTTTGCCTTGAAGTCTGATATTCTGCAGCAAGTTCTTCTGCTAATCGAAACAGAAAGTCTTTCCGTGAGATATTTTCTCCTGTTGTGTTTTTGTACAATATCCAGCTATTGATTCCGGCTAAATCTAAAATATTAAAAAACACTTGAAGTGGCCACCTTCTGGAACCTGATTTCACTGTATACTTTCTTGCCATTTGATCAGTGACATCGACGCCAAATTTAGTTTTATTATAAAACGATACAGTTTCAGGTAATTTCTTAGCTGCTTTATCAATTTTGATGTGTTTATGTTTCGTACTTAGTATAAGTACTTTTTTATTTGGTTTGCTCTTATAAGCAGTAAGTGTGCATCCATTGGATTGATACAACAACGTTGAGAAACGTGCCATGCTGTCTTTTTTCAGTTTGCAAGTTTTCGGCAGTTCCCTCTTGTTTGCGCGTATTGTTCCAAGCAACGAAGTATTTTTAGATCTTAATTTTAACGCCAAAGGAATACTTGTAAAAAAATTATCAGTTGTTACAGTTCTACCCTTCATGGTATACGGTTCAAGAAGTTTCATAACGACAAATTCGCTTAGGGGGGTTGATGCATTTCGAGTCTCGTCTTTTCCTAAATACGGAAAGCCATTTACCACATATTTCGTCTCTACATCAGATGCCAACCAAAATTTTATCCCAAATTTATGAGGTTTGTTTGGCATATACTGAGTAAACCTGCATCTGGCCTTCGATGGAAAAAGTTGCTCATCCACAGTAATATAAGCTCCCGGTTTGAAGCAATTTTGACTGTTTTCAATAAATTTATCCCAAACTGCTGAGACTAAAGCGAATTTGTCTGTTTGCAACCTTTGACTCCTCTGATTTCTTTTGTCGAAACGAATGTATCGCAGAATCTCAGTAAAATCCCGTCTACTCATAGTGCTGGAGAAAAATGATGGTCCCCACTTGTTGTTCCACAAATATTGAAGCCTCAAAGTATTTACTTCGTACGCCCCACGTGCGTACAGTATTGCAAGAAATGCCTTCAATTTTCCTTGCGTAATTGTCCATTTTTTCCCCAAAACTCGAGAGCCTTCTAACTCTGTACAAATTCGTATATGTTCCAAAATATGGTTGTCAATCAGTAATAGGAACGCACTACTTAGACTCCCGTTCATAATGTTTCTTATAGCATGTGCTGTTGGCCCGTGTACATCTTTGAAAGCACTATGAACTGGTAGTCTACCGGCAACACCTCCTTCTTCAATTCTCGTCCAAATAGTTCCGTCTGAAGCAATTTCAGTTTGCTGATTTGGTACGGTGCTTCCACCTTCGTCTTCAGAACTGGAAGGGAATCGCATGTATCGTCTCCTTCGCTTGTTTGGAATATTTTCGCAGTCACCGTCACTTGACTGATTTATATTGTTTTCATCAGAAATTTCCTCATCACTACTCTCGACAATAGCACTGTTATCATCACTGCTTTGTGGATCAATTTGTCTGTCTAAAAATTCACTGTCGCTATCATATAATTCACTTTCTACATCTGAACATTCCAGAGGTATGCTGGTTGCATTTTCTAAATATGTAGAAACTTTTATTCGTTTTGACATTTTTAGGGGCTTGGAGATCGCTTGGACTAAGATTTTATTTCGTGTGTTGAACGAAGCTCGAAACGAGACTGTTCGTGCCTCGTGCATTTATGAAGTAAGAAATCTCGTAAACCTGCCGTAATAGCCGTAATCGGCTCAAAGCCGAAAACGGAACAAACAAATAACGCATGGGCGCTATACATTGTACTTCATCGGTCTCATGATTCTCCCGAAATCATACATTTCTTCGTAGAAACATGCACCAGTCATTTTGACTGGTTTTGGTATAAATGTCAATAACAAAAAATATATTTGTTACTAATATATATAAAGTAACATTAAGTTCAGAAAATGCATTCTCTACTTATAGCTACAAAAGTCATAACATCATTTTGGAAAGCAAATGTTATATGTAATAGGAATTTTGAATTGAAATTGTACGACCAGTCAAAATGACTGGTCTGGTAAATCTAGTGTTAA